CCCCAAAACCCCAAAACCCCAAAACCCCAGCTTGACTATGAATTTAAAAATAGACAAATTGTAAATTTAAAATAAGTTTTTAATCTTATAAATTTTATAATGAAGATGGATAAAGATGAGTCAATAAGGAAAGTTAAACTAGTCAAAGTTCTTGAAAATACAACATTTTATACTCTTTAAGGGGTTTATGGTAATTTATGCATTTAGAGATCATATTTTAGATGAGGAGAATTAAAGCATTAATCAAGCTACTAATGAATCAAAAATGATCTCAAAATATCACATTTGAAATAACTCTTTGCCACATGACACTTTGAAAGTTTATTGCTAAAATCAGCTTTAGAGTAGAAATGATTTTAAAACTATAAATCCTGCAGTTATTAATCCAAATTAAGTATATGATCAATCAAAGATAGGTTTTGAATCTCTAATAACAGAGAAACCAGGCAATATGTCTATATTTAACATGCAAAAATACTAGCATCAGAACCAAATTTTAAACTCATATCGTGGGTCGAAGAGTATTTAAAATGAAATAAAAAGTAAGAATAATAATAAAATATAAAAAACATAAAATTTAAATCTAAAAAGAGATTCTTTGCCTAGAGGAAACACAGTCCTAAATAATGAACAGTCATTTGTTATTTAGCCCATAAACATAGGATTAACTAAAAATCACAAATATTAATAGTAAAATCTTCGATAAGATTTATTCGATTTAAGCAAAAGCAACAACAACAGTAACAACAATTATTCTGATTCTCTGACTAAGAGTTCATTGAATATAGAAGGTTTTCGCTAAATCAAGAAAATTAATAATTCAAAGAAGTAGCCAATGATTTTTCAAGGGAATCCAAATTCTACTCATTTCAATTTTTAAGAAAAATCACCTGATTAAAGAAGTCATAATTCAAAAGAACTTCTGCCTAAAATGACTCTTAAAAATGTTAATAATCTTTAAAATAAGAAATAAATAAAGTAAAGTTTCATCCAAAAGATGACAAACTCCTTTGCCAAGTTACCTGATAAAATTAATGAATTATAGCATGTTTTCAACATCAATTAACTCAATCAATAGATATTAACAACTAATGATCCTAATAACAAAATAAATTTGAAAATAAATTTTAGAAATACCTAAAACTCCAAAGACATTTAAGATATTATTTAAAGTTACAGAGCAAGTCAAGAAAAACTTCCTAAAATGTAAAACAGTAATCTCAATAAGTACCTGAGTTTCTTAAATAATTAATCAAAAAGTAGTATTTTAGAAAAAGATGAAAGCTACTAAGATGATTTGGTTGGTGTAAAAACTACTTAATAGCAATTACTATCTTCCATAGATAGATAAAAATTACAGGACAAACACAAAGATCGTAGTGGAGACCAAAATGAACCAACTAATGGCATTGTCAATTATAGAACTAAGATAAAGATTATCAATCATAATAATGATTCAAGACATTCTTCGAATATTAAAAATTCATCTTTATAAAATAACTCTAAAAGGTCAGCTACATAAGTAAGAAATGGTTTTAACAAAAATCTTCCCAGAAATGCATAAAAGATTTAAAGTTTATTGGCAACTTCCACTGATAGTAAATAAGATTCTAACATTAAATTGAGACGTAAAGCTGATGCTTCTCAAAGATAATCACAACTACTAATTTAAGAGAGCAAATTTCCAGCTTAGACTAATAATTCATAATATTACTTATAAAGTCACAGAGTCTTTTAATCACCTGAAAAAAATGATGTGCAGTCCTCCTTTCAAATTACATTTTGCAATGACTAAAGTCAATCCAAACTGCAAAAAGAAAGAGTTGGCAACTATTTCAAAACTGATACTCTAAACACACCTAAAAAGAGCACTAGCAATAATACCTTACTAAACACAAGAAACATAAAAATAGATCAGCCCTACAAAGATTAAAATAAAACAACTACAGTTACCTAGCAATAATCCCCAACTATTAAAAATCAAAACTCAGCTACTCTAAATATAAAGAATTCAAGCTTTAAAGTCTAGATAAGTCTGAGTTAGGTCTATGAGAAATTGAATGTTAGAAAGGATGAGAATTTAAACTTGTACCCGTGCATTAAAGTGATGCCCTTGCCCAGTTTAAATCATGATATATTAGAACCATCTAAGTATGGCATCAAGTCTTTTATGAATGCTTTTGACATTAAGGGAGTAGTCTCCTAAGATATCAACACTATTAGTTTAGAATTTTTTAATTTCAATCAGTGAAGTCTGCTTTTGTAAATTAATTTTTTATTTAAGTTTAGATTTCTCGAATTTATTATTTGAGGGGTTTTGGGGTTTTGGGGTTTTGGGGTTTTGGGG